CGGAAAATTGAAAACAAGGGTTATCACTATCAAGAATAATAGGAGCAGCAGGACGGGTAACAGGTCCGGGTCGGGGAGCCGGGGGAAGGGTAGTAGGTTGGAGACTACTTTCACCAATTTTAGCTTTTCCCTTAACACCAAACATTTTTTTCAAAGAAAATGCCATATTAATTACAATTATGCAAACTAAACACACAAAAATATATTCTTAAAACTTAAGAGTTGGAACGAGTTTACCGAATTGCCGAACAACTTCTTGAAAATTAAAAATCGTTGAAGACTTGAATACTTCAATTCACCAACTTCACAATTTTTCACGAAATTGCAATAATAAAATAAGCAATTATAGAAGAGAAATTAGATATAGATTGAGAGAGATTGAGAGAGATTGATGAATTGTTGAGTAAAAATAAAAGAATGAGGGGGTATTTATAGTTGAGAATTGGAAAAAAGTGTAATTATATAAAGTTTGGGGTTAAAATAAAGTTTGGGGGCCAAATGGCTATTTTTTAAAGTGGCCAACGGATAAATTATGAAGGCCAACGGCTAGATTTTAAAAATCTGACCGTTGGTCTTTTTTTTTAAAATTTTTTTTTTTTAAAAATAGCCATTGGAGCCCATTAGGCCCGGTTGAACCGGCCCAGGCCCGCCTGCCGGTCCCGGGCTTAGCGGTCCCGGGCTCGTGGGCCTATAGAAGTGAACCAGCCCGCCACGGGCCTCCTGCACCATTGGGGATCGGCCCACCAGGACCGGCCCGCCAGGACCGTTTAGCCCGTCAAGACCCCGGGCCCGGTCCGGTCCCGGTCCCAGCCCGGCCCACCATACAGCATTACTTGGGTGATGTAGAATGAACCTGGTTATGCCGAGTCTGCCCGTTAAGGGTCTTATAGTTTCAGATTTTCCAGCATATGGCGATTGACGACAGTCTCCGAGTCATCAAGTTGTTTAAGCGTGAAGACCGCTTCTTGTGAGCTCGGAGTTACCTTGTAGGGGCTTTATGATCTCGGAGTTTCGATCCTGAGATCGCGCGAGTGCCTAGTCGTAGGCACCGAGTCCCGAGTATTTCGGGATGCAGTCGGTGGAGGGGGGCCCCCTACCGGGGATATACTTGAGATTTCTTTGTCCGGAGAATAAAATGCCGAGAAAATATCCTTTTATTGCTTGGTATATATGTACATTGTCTCGCCCTCGTGAACTCGATCCGCGCGTGCACGGCTTCTCGGACCGTTTTGGCCCAGCATATAATTCCCGACGGTGTTTCAGTCCGCCGTATCTGGGTCATTTCAAGGGGGGATGCTCTTAGAGGCAAACCATCGTTCGTTGCTGGGCTATCGGAATAAAGCCCATGGCATCATCGAGCCTTCTTCTGGTATGTTGTTCTGCCAGTAATCTTGCCGATAAGGTTCCTTTCGGGGCGAAAAGCCCGGCTGAAGGGAGAAAACACGGTGGCCGCCTATATGCGGTCTAGGAATCTCTGGGTAGAGTCTTGAGAACCTTAGAACATCCTAGTCAGCTGTGTGCGTTCAGGTTAGTAAAGGGAAAACGAAGGAGCGGAAGCACTTCTTTCTTACCGCGGGGTGTGTAGGCGATGTTCCGGGACTCGGTGCATGAAATCAATGGGACCGTCGACGCCTTCGGGTAGAGTGTCGGTGGTCGCCCGAATAAAATGTTTATACTTCACGTTTCCTTTGATGGTGTAAAGCCCGAGGTCCCAGCTCGAATTCAGGCGGGCTGTATTGAGAGAATGGTCTTTTCGGCGACTTGTTACTTGGAGTTCACCAAGGATTCGGGATGTGGGGGCGATTTGGTTCGTTAATGCGGAACCGCCCCGTTGACCCTTGGTCCGATACCATAGTTGCGGGTGACCGAGCTTCCTGAATCTACGAGCACACGATTTATTTTAAGATTAAGCGGATGAGGGAGAGGTTTACCAATGTGCCGTCGTGACGCTGGGGTGGAGTCGTAGTGCCCCTTTCCCTGGATGCGAGAGTATCCTTGGAAATATTTCCCTGGATCTGTCTTTGTCCCGGTGGCGGGTATTTTCGCTTCCCGTGTAATGAGTTCTCGGAGGGCGTCGCCGTTCCTCCATTACCGCGGTGATACGTCGCGGTTTGTTTCTTCATCCTTCCCGGTAGTCTTCTTTCCTCGGGGCTAGATTTGAGCCTGACCATTCGATAGTACTTGTCGTCGAATTTGATTGGGCAGCATGGCTATCATATTTCCGGGACGGGAGTCATTCGTGGCCCCGCTGTCGCTTGCGTCCCGCGGATTCCGCGTCGGGTTGTGGTTCCTTCGAAGGGGCCTTGGTCGAGTAGGCCTGAGTCGCTCAGCGTTCCTTGTTTCGCTTATGGTGACTACGACATTTGTCATAACAATCTTGCGTCCACACTCTGCTGGACGAGGTTCGTCTGCCGGCTGTGCCTCACCGGATCTGGTTCCGCTGGATGTTCCCCGGGGGGGTCGCCCTCGAACTACTCCCCTACCGCTGCGAGGTATGTTGGATCTTGGGGCATTTATCCCATTAGCGGCGCATGGATGGTATCTCCATCCATTTGGCATTAGTTTCTTCGTGGAAGGCCTGCTTGGGTGTGCTGTTTCTGCAGAGGATTTTGGGCCCACGGCCTCGATTAGTGGCCGGTGCTGGGAACGGACGTATGGCCAACTCTTGGCCGGGTATCTGGCTAAACGTCGTTTGAAACGACCTGGGATCGGCGGGTATGCTCTGTTTAAACCTCGAGCAAAGGCCAGGGTTGTCTGTTCATCCGAAGCCGGACGCGATCCCATTCGTCCTATCAGGGAGCAGCATGTGACTTCTTGTGGTGTTTCTTCCTTTCTTTGTTCGGCCTCCAACTCGTCAGTTTCCGCTGCTGCTGCTTTGAAGATATCGGCGTATGTTTCTGTGGTGGGGTCATCTTGAAAGTCGCATTTTTTCTTCGTGTATGCGTGAGCGGTGGTACGCTTGTCGGGGGAAGCTGTCTCCGGTGTCGCTACGCTGGGGGTCCCCGGATGGCTTTGCAACTGAGCAATGGCCAGCTGTTGTGCCTACAACATTTCAAAAATATCGTGAAGACTAACTTCCTGTTCTTCCCTGGCGGGGTTTTTTGAACTTCCTGTCGGTCACTGTGTTGCGCGCTTCTGTCGGCATGAGAAGTTTCATTGATTTGCTGTGCGTCCTGTGAGTCCGCGTCCGCTTGTATTAGTCCGGGTGCGTTATCGGGATCCTGTAGTGGTGCTCCGGCGGTCGGGATAGCTACACCATTTTCCCTGTGATCTTCGAGGCGGTCGTTCTCAGCTCTGTTCACCGAGCTAGACATTTTTACCTGAAATTAAAGGATCTTGGACAAGAAAAAGTGTGAAAGATGGTATGCATTTGTGTAATGAATCTAACAAGAAAATAATCACTAATACTATTTACCGTGAAAATGGTAGCAACAATTAAATTTATTAGATGGGACTCTAAATATATGGATCTATTCCCAAGCTAGTTTGTTAGAGTAGATGATGCTAGTATTATGAATTTTAATGATGGGGGGTGGGNGGGAGATAAATGAGGTAACGAGCGGACCAAAGGGTCTGCTACCCGGGCGTAAGCTTGGTCGATTGGGACTTCAAGGTCGACCTCGGGGTCGAGCTTGGGTTGTCGAGGATACTCGGGAGTAATCTAACAGCTAGAAATATAATCGAACGAAGCTATTTACAACCGAAATTGAGTTTGTACGATGAAGAACACATGTAAAATGAAGAACACGTATAGAGGCAAAGGATATCGAGGTATCCTCAGTATCAGTGAGAACCAATGAGCTTTTGTAAGAAAAGAGAGAGAGAGAGAGAGAGAGAGAGAGAGAGAGAGAGATTATTGCACTTTGTAGAATTGTGGGAGCAACATCAGTCCCTTACAAGGTAGGGTGAGTCCCTTTTATATAGTAGAGGAAACTCGGGATACATGTATATTTAATTCATGAAGTATGAAGATGTGACGGCTTGACTCGACGCCCCAGCGTAGGCTAGGGGTAGGCCGATCCTGTCAGACTCAACCGCTTGCCTTGGGGGCTTCCTTTCTTTATCCCGATCTCAGCCTCGAATCAGGTTTCGATAGGCCTCGAAGGAAAGGACTAAACTGTGACTTTGTATCCTCGGGGTCTCGAGATATCTTGCCGAAGTGGCTTAATGGCGGGAAATCAGGCCCTCTGATTTCACCGCATACACAATGTATCTATTTTAATTGAGAATGAAACTATGTACTCACTCGAATAGGAATCCTATACCTTTGAAATAACTACTGGAAAATGAAACTAAAGTAATTCCAAGAAAGTCACGAAGAGACTACACTAGTAACTCTGAAGTAAGTGCTTGTCAAATACAAGAACTTCACGCCAATTACTTCCCATTTAATTAATTCTTTTAACATTTTGGAAGGTGAATTTATTATTTGGTAACAAAAGTAGTGTTTAGATAAGGGCCGGGTAGAAAATGTCTTTCTACTTTTAGTGGATAATTTGGTAAATATTTAATTTTATGCTTAGGTCTTCCCATTTTTAAATTCACGCTAAAGTTTCATTAAATCTGGGTAAATACGAGATTATTTGCTAACGATAGGGCACAAGTGATAAATATTTATTCGCATACGATATTTGCACCTGACTAAATAATTAACGTTAAGAATCAACAAATCAATGTGAAAATGCATATCACTTAACTATGACTAAATGTTAAAAAGTATATATGTGCATATCACTTAACTATGACTAAATGTTAAAAAGTATATATGCAATAGTCAATACATATATCTTACACTCAAGTGTAATAAATATGCAAATTAAGATATTTCATATTGTAAACGGGTAAATTCAAATTTTGTCCGAAAAATTAATTCCTTATAAGCGAATCTTCTTACAAAAGCATACCATTACACTCTTTGGAACCAACCAAATAGTTTCCTATAAATAAGGTTGTAACAGTCGGAGTACGAGTCTTCGTTTCATGGAAACTCGACAGCTAAAGAGATAATTGCGTTTAACCATTACGAAACCCCATTTTCCATAACTGACCATCACCACCACCCCTCGCCACCCTATCACCACCTCCTTCTCGCCCTCCGTTCATGGCTCTTTGGCTGAGGGTGAGATTCATCAACCCTTTTCGGGATCACAACACCATTGAACTTTACCAATCCTGTATTTTTCTTTTCATTAACAATAATTCTTCTCTGTCAAAGATAAGTTTTTTGATTCTTTAATTTTAGGAAATAAATTAAAAGGTCCGCCGTTAATATATGGCGGACATAGTGAAACAAATCCTAGCAAGGCCAATACAATTAGCGGACCATATAACAAAGGCCGCTGTCGATGTTAATAACTTCGAACAAGATTGTCTGGACATCAAAACCAAAACAGAGAAGTTAGCTGCGCTTCTCCGACAGGCTGCCCGTTCCAGCAACGACTTGTACGAACGTCCAACACGTCGAATCATCGATGACACAGAGCAAGTTCTTGACAAGGCCCTTACCCTCATTTTCAAATGCCGTGCCAATGGTTTGAGACGTGTTTTCACCATCATCCCTGCTGCTGCTTTTAGGAAAACAATCCAACAGCTCGAGAATTCTATTGGTGATGTTTCTTGGCTCCTTCGTGTTTCCACCCCTGCTGATGATGGGGATAATGAATATCTAGGCCTTCCTCCCATAGCTGCAAATGAACCAATTTTGTGCCTTATATGGGAACAGATAGCTATCTTGTGTTCGGGCTCGATAGAGGAACGTTCGGATGCAGCAGCTTCTCTTGTCTCGTTGGCTCGTGACAACGATCGCTATGGAAAGTTGATTATAGAGGAAGGTGGGGTTGGACCATTGTTGAAATTGGCCAAAGAAGGAAGAATGGAGGGTCAGGAGAGTGCGTCAAGGGCCATTGGCTTACTTGGCCGTGATCCGGAAAGCGTCGAACACATTGTGAATGCTGGTGTGTGCTCTGTGTTTGCAAAAATCCTCAAAGATGGGAACATGAAGGTTCAGGTTGTGGTGGCTTGGGCTATCTCAGAATTGGCTGCACATCATCCCAAATGTCAAGATCATTTTGCTCAGACTAATACTATTAGATTACTGGTTAGTCATCTTGCCTTTGAAACCATTCAAGAACATAGTAAGTATGCTATTGCTAGTAAACAGACCATGTCCATTAACAATATTGTGATGGCCAATACCAATTCTACTACTACTGTCAAAGACGGTGATGTAGATGGTAGTCAAATTTCACATCCAATGGGTGATCACAAAACCACCCAAATGCATAATTTGGTAGCGAATATGATGGCCCTGAAATCGAAAGACAATGCTACGATGAACAATAATATACCAAAGCCTAACCAACAACACAACCCAGTACATCATCCTCATCATGAGCAGAAGCAGCACCAAGTCACCTTGTCCGGGACTAGCATTAAGGGGAAGAGGGAGAGCGAAGATCCTGCTACAAAGGCCGAAATGAAAGCAATGGCTGCCAGAGCACTTAGGCACCTTTGCGCGGGAAATGCTGCCATCTGCAGTAGTATTACAGAATCCAGAGCACTTTTATGCCTAGCAGTTTTGCTGGAGAAGGGACCTGATGAAGTACAATATCATTCGGCTATGGCACTAATGGAGATCACAGCAGTAGCTGAGACAAACTCAGACTTGCGACATTCTGCTTTCAAGCCCACTGCACCTGCTGCCAAAGCTGTCGTAGACCAGTTCTTGAGAATCATTGAAAAGGAAGACTTGGAACTGCTCGTTCCCAGCATCCAATCGATAGGGCACCTCGCTAGGACATTTCGAGCAACTGAGACAAGAATCATTGGTCCATTGGTGAAACTACTAGATGATAGGGAACCGGATGTAACACGAGAAGCTGCAATTGCACTTAAGAAATTTGCTTGCACAGAAAATTTTCTTAGAGTCAATCACTGCAAGGCTATAATAGAGGCAGGAGGCACCAAGCACCTAGTTCCACTAATTTACTTTGGGGAACAAATGGTTCAGATTCCTTCTCTGATTCTCTTGAGTTACATAGCAATGCATGTTCCTGACAATGAGGCATTAGGTGAGGACAATGTATATCGAGTATTGGAGTGGTCGTCGAAGCAGGGGCACCTAATGCAAGATCCCATTGTTGACGATCTAGTTAACAGAGGCAGAGAAAGTATGGAACTTTATCAGTCCAGGCATTGATCTTATCAAAATTTTGTAGTAATTCTTACTCGGTTTGTCAAAATTTTGGTACTTTAGCTTGCTGTTAGTTTGTTCACTTGTCGTGCAGTGTACATAGATTAGCGTCTTCTGTATATTATAACAAGGACCTTTGAATCATTAGCCTTGTCTATTCGACAATAGAACATTCAGGCTACTGTTCTAAGTTCTGCTTTTGCACTCATGAATGTATTAGGGTTACTTCTTAACCTGTTTCTACTGCTGAAAAAGCAAACTTTGCAAACTCGTTTAGGTGATGGTGAAGATGAGTTTATCGTGTGGCATAATCTGCATTTTTTCTATTTTCCGTTCCATCGTTGTTAGTGATGGCAAAGATGGGGAGCCTTGGCATATCTAGTAAAGTTGTTGTCATGTGACCAGGAGATTACGGTTTCGAGTCGTGGAAACTACCTCTTGCAGAAATGTATTGTAAGGCTAGAGATGGCAGTGGGGCGGGGCAGTGCGGCTGCGGGGCAGTGCGGGTGCGGGGCATGTTTGGCTTAACCCGCAAGAATTTCGCCCTGCCCCACCCCGCCCGCATAGCTATTTTTTCAGTCTTCAACCTGCCTCGCCCCGTTTGGACCCGCCCCGCCCCGCCACGTTTAAGTTTGTCCTATTATTTTTTCTTTTTTATTTTTTCTAAAACAAACTACTTTAACATTTTATTATTATTTTTAAATAATGAGTTTAATATTATTCAAGCAATTATATCTTTCTTTTGTCGTCTAGTAAAATTGTACATTATTCATGAAATAAGAGAGGCGAGATTCTATCAACCAATTAGTCAGTTGCTATACGCATAATATATATTTTTTTCAGTTTTACGTTCATCCTTAATTAGGAATCTTTAATTAATAGAGAGAAGAAAACTTGCATATAGGTATAGAAAGGAAAGAGTCAATTACTCAAATGATCACTTAACTATCTCAAATTATCTCCTAAAGACACTTTTCTTTCGTTTGTAATAACAAAGTCACTGAACTATGCCTATTGCACTCAGAGGCGGAGCCAGGATTTGAAACTTGTGGGTTCGGGATTCTAAATCTTTTAAGTTACTGGGTTCTAAATAAATAATTTATACATGTTCAATGAAGTTTTTAAGACAAATACATGATTTGACCGAAAGCTACTGGGTTCGGCTAAACCCGTAAGTTATACTCTCCCTCCGCCACTGATTGCACTCAGAAGGTCACTCAATTAGATTTTTCAAATTTTGGATTTCAAAATACCTATTTTACTCTCTAAATTATAAATATTTTTTTTATTTTTATTTTTTAACTTTTTAGTATCATGATTTACCGTTTTTAATTTATATTATGGACTTACCTATATAATAAATAAATATTATTCATAAATTTAAAAAATAAAATGTATTTAAGCATCTATAATACTGGAATAACAAAATAATGAAAATAGTAAAAAATTTAATTAGAATAATTTGTTCGTAATAATATATTTTAGTATTAACAACAAAAATTAAAAAAATTATTTACACGATTCAGAATGAAAGAAAATAAAGACTGTAAAACATATATTTCATGCACGTAATATAAAAATAATTATTTAAATAAAAGTATTTTTTATAATATACATTATATATTCTTGAAAATTATGCTCAATTATATTATATATATTCCATGAACAACTTAACATAGCATATTTTACCCTATACAGATAGTCCCCCTACTTTCAGGTGACATAACTTTGTGTCGTCGGAAAGTTGGTAGAAACATAATAATATAATTGAGCATAATTTTCAAGAATATATAATGTATATTATAAAAATACCTTTATTTGAATAATTATTTTTATATTACGTGCATGGAATATATATTTTACAACCTTTATTTTATTTCATTCTGAATTATTTAAATAATTTTTTGAATTTTTGTTGTTAATGCTACAATTATTATTATTAACAAATTATTCTAATTAATTTTTTTACCATGCTCATTATTTTGTTATTCCAGCATTATATATGCTTAAATACTTTGTATTTTTTTAATTTATAAATAATACTTATGTATTCTATAGGTAATTCCAATATAAATTAAAAAGGAAAAATCATAATATTAAAAAGTTTAAAGAAAATAAAAAGAAAATAAATGTTTATAATTTAGAGGGTAAAATAGGTATTTGGCAATCCAAAATTTGTAAAATCTAGTTGAGTGACCTTCTGAGTGCAATAGGCATAGTTCAGTGACATTTGTTGTTACAAACGAAAGTAAAGTGACTTTAGGAGATAATTTGGGATAGTTGAGTGACCATTTGAGTAATAGACTCGGAAAGGAAATGGAGTAGTTGTACTCTTTCTGAACCCATAAACCACCAATGTTGATTATCGATAGAACGTTCTCGAATAGTAGCCATTATGTAGTTTGTAAAATGTTTCTCGATAGAACATTCTCGAATAGTAGCCATTATATTGTTTTTAATACCAAAATTTAATGAAAATGTAAATAATTACAAGATGCAAAAATAAGAATACTTTCTTTGGACAGAAACATAAAATTAAATTGCTAGCTGAAACAAATATAAAATAGCAGTTGAACCCGCACTCAACCCGCGTCAAACCAGCAACCCGCCCCGCTTTTATAAAATTAATAGTTTAAATCCACCCTGCACCTGCATAAGAGCAAACCCACCCCGCCCTGCATCAAAGAAAACTCGCCCCGCCCGCTCCGCCCATTGTCATCCCTAGGTAAGGCTACGTACAATAAACCCTTGTGGCCAGGCCGTTTCTCGGACCGCACATATAGCGAGAGATTAGTGCATCGGGCTGGCCTTTTTTATTCTTGTTAGTAATGACGAATGCGAACACACTTCTTGTGTCACAAACCAATTCCATTATAGGCCGTGATGACGCCCAACGCCATTGTTAGGCAAGTCAACACTGATCAAACTAGTGTCACGCCCCTTTTCCTACCCCCAAAAAGATATATATGTTATGGATTGTGGGTGGATTAAAGAGTTTTTCCAATTAAAGTAACAAACTTGAATAAGGATTATTTTATTTACAGAGTCGCCACTTGGAATTGATTTTTTGGGTGTTCCAAGTCACCTTTTTCCATTTGAATCCCTAGTCAAAGGAAGGTTTAACTCTATTATTATTGGTCCGCGAAAATAAAGTTCGGGTAAGGAATTCTGTTGACCGGGGAGAAGGTGTAAGGCATTCCCCGAGTCCCGTGGTTCTAGCACGGTCGCTTTATTGACTTAAACTTGGCTTTAATTAATTTTGAACAAATTGATATTTATATGCTTTTTATATTTTTACATAGTCGCTTTTATATCTGGATTATTAGAAAAATTAAAGAAAAATTTGAATAATAAGATGTCATAACCACACTATTCAAGCTAATGCGTGATCGAGACGAAATTTATTAATTTTATCATAACAGCGCTACGCAAGCGAATCCGCAGTTATGACAAGGATTATTAGTACATTATTACTTTTGAAAAAGTTACTACACTTAAAAATTGCTAAAATATTAAGTATCGCGCTACGTAAGCGAATCTGTAATTTTAGCAAAAAGAATTAATTAAATTAGAAATTAATTAAAACTAGTAGAAATAGTATGAGATTACTGAATCAAAATATTAAGATTTAATATCACGCTACGCAAGCGATTCCGTGAATGAAAAAGTTAATATGCACCTACTAGTTGCCTTGCGTTTAAATTAATTGTTAAGGAGATTAAGTTGTAAAGTTATTTTAATAAAAGGAAAAAACTAATTTCTTCGTTTTTATTATTGTATATAAAAGGAGATATGGAAACATTTGTGATGGGTCAGCTCACTTATATTGAAAATGCCGGCCTGTTTTGGTTGTCATGGGCATTGAGTCCAATTAAAGTAATCACTTGGACTGCTGGCCCCTTTAGAAGTTAAATGGCCATTTGGGCCAAAGGTTAGTTATTAACTTTGGGCCTAGCATTTTATTTTTTCTTGTCCAACTTACTATTAACTATTGATAAACCATTATTATATTTGTAGGGGCCAATATTTTTATCCTTTTCATCACCTAACTACAATTTTATGCTCATAAAAATAAATCCACACCAAAATACTTATAAAACTATAATTACAAGAAATAACACACTAGTAAAAAATTTATAAATGAACATCACGAATTGTTGAACATTGGCTAACAAATCTTAGGCAAACTAAACTCAATAAGCTACTAAAAGGAAAAACTTATAAAATTAAAAGAAATCATATTTCCTTTTCATGAAACATGCAACAACAACAACAACAACTACCCAGTATAGTCCCACAAGGTGGGGTCTGGGAGGGTAATACGTACACAGGCCTTACCCCTACCCGAAAGGGCAGAGAGGCTTTTTCCAATCGACCCTCGGCTCAGGAAAAGGAAAAGGAAAACAAAAACAAAAAACAAAAAACAAAAAACAAAAAACAAAAGAGCATTAGTAACTCCAGCAGAAATCACATAAATAATTATCTAAACATAAACCATAAATAAAATGGCATGCAAATATATCGACTAGTAACTACCATAAGGGGGCACAATACAATACACAGATCATCTATGGAGAGCCCTACCAAACCCCCCCCCCCCAGCCCCGGGACAGAAGTACGAAAAATTCTAGAAGCCCCTATCCTACAACCCTGATACTAGACCTCCAGACTTTCCTATCAAGGGCCATGTCCTCGGAAATCCGCATTCTAGCCATGTCCTGCCTAATCACCTCTCCCCAATACCTCTTGGGCCTCCCTCTGCCTCCACTCGCGCCAACCACCGCCAGCCGCTCAGAACTCCTCACCGGGGCATCGGGGTTTCTCCTCCGCACATGCCCGTACCACCTGAGCCTCGCTTCCCGCATCTTCTCATCTACTAGGGCCACCCCCACCTTCTCCCGAATAACTTCATTCCTAATCTTATCTAACCTGGTGAGCCCGCACATCCACCTGAGCATCCTCATCTCCGCAACCTTCATTCTCTGGACATGGGAGTTCTTCACCGGCCAGCACTCAGCCCCATACAACATGGCAGGTCTAACCACAGCTCTATAAAACTTCCCATTGAGTTTCTGTGGCACTTTCTTGTCACACAAGACTCCTGATGCAAGCCTCTATTTCGACCACCCCGCCCCTATACGGTGAGTGACATCTCCGTCGATCTCTCCTTCCCCCTGAATCACCGACCCAAGATATCTGAAACTGTCCCTCTTGGCGATGACCTGAGATCCAA